TTTATTAATATACGTTGGGTAAGGGCAAACCCGTTATATATAACCATGGGAGCATGTTTTTATGGTGGTTTTTCAAATGCACATGTATACAATTGTACATGTACAAGTTACCGGGAAGCTCATCCAGTTAAGGAAGGTAGGGAGTCCAAAATTGCATCCTAATGGGTGATTTTAGTTTCTTCATGCCCATGAGATCAAGCATCACAAAAGGTCAAAATGCAGAACTCAACGAGTGATTTTGGGGGGGGTCTTATTTGTAGGAAAATGTGCCATGTGTCAGCTACAGTGCAAACATGCAATAAAGGTTACTCGTAATGCTATGAAATATGTATTTTGAATGCAATTTATAACCACATACATGTAATGTTACTAATCACATTGAACACAATGGAACAAGGAATAACGTAGTACGTCCCTAGATCTGTCCTGTATACCATGAGGCCACATTATGCAGGGTTCGATGTGGACCGTGCAATACATCATTGTTTGTTGCCATGGATTGACCAATCAGAATTGAGAAGTCCAAGTTTGCTTGACGATGATTGAATTCTGACCCTTTTTTATTTCCTTAAATTGACCTTTGAATATTCAATTATGGATATAAATATCTTAATAATATAATCAATAATTGATTGGTCAGCAAAGCCCTAGTAAACACAAAATCATGTACACGTACAATATACATATGCACGCACAATCAGATGCTGCATACATGTATGTTCAGGAGGTTGAAAAGTGAAAAAATTGAAAAAAAAACTCACAACGACAGCTTACATGTTTGTGCGTGTACATGTAATACATATATACATGTACATATTCAGAATTGCCCCTTTTCAAACCATCCCTGACACCAGGACAATCTCTCTGACGGAAACCATGGCAACCGCACAAGTGAAAGGCCTGGAGCTGGCCAAAATTGTTTCCTCATGGAATGGCTCCTATCGTATTTGCACGCTACACTGTGGAACAGGTGCCAATTACAACAAATTGGTGGCCCAGCGATTCGATTGGATAGCTGTCAAGATCTGATGAATTGGTTGCATAAATTGCTTCAAGGCTGTTGGTTTCCTCTTTCTTTTTAAACTTTTTTCTGAAGCTGGCTTGTCGCTCAACAAATAGTTCTTTCCTCTTAATGGAGAGGATTTCGTGTTCAAAGCCAGCATCTGCTCAGCATTAAATAAAGCCCTGCATGCATGTATATCCAGTGAGAGATTTTGTGTACACTTTAAAGTCGTGAGCTCATCAGTTGGTTGTACATGTACATGTGTACATATACCAAATTTGCAAACACCTAAATATGTGAAATATTGTCAGAATTTTGCTTTATGCCCAAGCATACAAACATCTGCTCATAAATTTACCAGTGCCAATCCATATGCCTTATAATAATTATATATTAACTAGGATTTATTATTTTCCCAGGCATCATAAACTCTTCACTGCACAGAACAAACTCTGTACAATTTTCCCCTGGGAGACAATCTCTTATTAAGGCTCTGAAATCTCCGACTGGGCCAACAGCCATGGATTTGGGACCATCTATGTTTTTTTCCATCATATCTACAAGTGTATTTATAAGGCACTGTGCCTTTACTGTTGGACAACCTTCCTCCTTCCTAAAATATACAAGCAGAAAAATGACAAAAAGGGATGATTTCTTTGCCGCATATCATTATCATATTTAATATGTTTGAAAAGTGTTTATACAAGTACAAAGTTTTCTATAAACCCCTTGTACCTTAGTGCACATGTACATGTATGGTGTGTATGCTAATAATTAAGAATGAGGAAAAAAAATTGAACAATCCCTTATGGAACTGGGCATGTGTTCATTGAATTGGTTCTTGATGAAGTGATAGGAATCCCGGGCATGGCATTTGCAAACAGAGTGGTAAGGGTTTAAAGCAACACTAATTACATTCACTATAGAGTTTTAAATTGGTACTTGGATACGCCGACCTTTCGGATTCAGGACACTAACAAAGAAGCGAAGTCTCGAATTTGTCAACCAATTAACAAGTTACCGATATAAATGTAATAAAAAGAAAACATTTCTTTTGCTCCACTGTCCAACAGACGGCAAAGTCCCCGATTTCAATTTTGAGAGCTTTCTTGGCGGCTAGTGCTAGTGGTAAGGGATACTTCTTTTTTCTTTTGGAAAATATTTTTTTAGTATTCTTCCCTCGTATCCGACTTTAGGACCCATATTTGGGGGTTTTTTTAGACCATAGAAAATACTTTTTCTGGTTTTTTTTCCATCTTCATCTAAAATTTATCTTTAAGAACATTCAAGCACCAACGTATCAAAAACGCTCACCTGGAGTGCATTTTTGTCGGGCCTCCCCCCCATGTCGGTCATCTCATGACCTGTTCTTTAAGCTTGCCGTTAGCTTGTAAACCTGTTCTTGATCAGAGACATCCATTATGAATACGGTACAGTATATCTGTCAAGTTTTAATTCATTCCATCCAAGGGTTTATGTTTCTCCCTCTCTCATGTGTGCCTGCCGCGTGCTTTGGGCACAGTCGGTGGGAATTGTTTCCAAACTTGTTAACATTTCTGGCATACATTTCCGGTGCTTGTCTCATCAGCGGATGTTTACCGAGAATGGCACGTTCGATTTTCCAAGAATGTGTGTCAAGATGTCTGCCCGATGTGAGCGAGAACACCTTTCTAGGCCCGCCATGATAAGAATAGTGTTGTAATAGTACACGTAGTGCTGAAGAAAATTTGTGACAAGGTTTTGGATCAAGTCCAGTAAATTAGACCATTTTACAGTACAATGTGTGATCATTTACATGTACATGTAGAGTGTGGGCATTATAATGACATTAACAGGTTCACAGTTGAGCTCATCCAGTGATTTGTGACAAGATGCAACTGTCAAACAAGCAATTTAGGCAACAAAAGATATGGTCATAACACATGTCCATACGTACAGGCATATCATACATAGTGTGGACCTCTGCACAAAAGAAGCCAACGTAATGCAGGGTACGATGTGTTGTGTGGACTTGCACACATCCACCCAATGTTTTCCCCTCTTTGAAAAACAGTTTCAGCGGCATTTTGGGGTCAAGGTTACCCGTGGCAAAATGAAGAGGAACAGTCCAGGAAATTATCATCAAAAATCCAGCTCGAAGGAGTTATCCTAGTGGGAGAAAAAGGAACATTTACCTTAACCACAGGAGAACAAAAGCATGTCCACACTTTGTATACAAAACAAGTGTGGGCGGACACCTAGTGGCTATTAGCAACATTGGTGAGAGCTTAAGATTGAATTTTGCCAAGGATGGTGAAATTATGAGCTTGGCCACCTACATGTACCTACTGTTTACGACATTTTGAAGGACCTGCAATAGTACTTAATGCAATTTAACTGATGAGTCATGCCAAATGCAAGTTAACAACCATGCAATTTCTCGCTATATATATAGTGATCACACTGACTTTTTGGGGGGGAAAAATACAAAAAACAATGCTGCACCACTTAGGATCCAGAACAATTTTTTTGGAGGGGAGGGCAGTATTGTATAAATGTGAGGGAAGCCCAAAATTGTTGAAATACTTCTACCCAGTACATGGAACCTTCTGTGGCGTTGTTGGCGGTTGAGGCTACATTTTGGTCAGTTGGTGCTTTTGGAAGAAAATGAAAGGAAACACCAGTCATTTTTTCAGAAAACAAAACTTTTTGGCCACTTTAGGGTGGGGGGAGGACATACTCTTATCCTCCCCGGGGTCTGTCCTTGGCACCACAGACAGATGTTGATCAGACTTCTATCAGGCCTACTACTGTAAAATACCAGTGTGACTATGGCAACAAAATAACTACCGGATTTGCTGAATTAAAGTGTAATCTTGTGTATTCATTAGTTAACAGCACACTACCAGTGCATGGAGAGAGCCACCTGTGAAACAAGTTTCTTCATCACAAGCAAAGATAAACATCGGCAAAAGTGCGGCAGGTGGGGATATGATGAAACAATTAATTATAGACTTTGATTGCAAAGATCATGTGATGCCCTTTTATAATGAGCTACCATGTTGAGAACATCTGACAGTAAGAGATAAAACATGCTTGTATGGTGCATGTACAAAGTACAAGTACACAAGTGCATCAAGGCGATTGCATCAATGAGGAGAGTCAAAATATATTTTTAATTGTATTCACTTCATTATGTTTCAATTTTTATTCGTGTTAAATTGCGGGTCTTGAGCCAAATTCCAAGAAATTAAAACAAATGTGATGTTTCCACCTGTTTTTGTATGTCCGGACTGATTTTCTAACAATTTTCCCTGAAAGTGTGTTTTTAAAGACAATTTCTCGTCAAATCCACAAAACCATTTATCCTACCGGTATATGTACACTGGATATATGTTTACAGTAAAAGCATTCTGATTATGTAAAAAACATATGGGGGGCCCTACCAGTATGTACAGTACATGTAGAGTCCTATTGGTGTAGTGGCTCTTTCCTCACCTTCCACCTACATGTATGCAACCCGGGTTCGAATCCCACCTAGGTCAGCATGTGGATTGGGTTTTCAGTCCCTGCCCGATTCTGTGGGTTTCCCTGGGATATTTATCCGGGGTTTTCCTCCCACCTCTAAAACTGAACATTTCTTTGCTACCTTCTTAACGGTCACTTTGTTCTGTAATTGGCGCTGAATGCATTGTTGGATGAACAGAAAAACTAAATAAAGAAAATGGGAAATAAATATATGTTACTGGTTATATGTACTCATACTGAGTGAAGCCCATGTCATCGCTCCAACTCCACCAATACGGTACATGTACATGTGCATCAACTTGCCAAGGGGTTCTGACTACAACGCTTGTCTCACAACAATACATTTTGTTTACATGAAAGCATTTGTGCAACATGTCTTATTTATTTATTTATTTATTTTTTTTGAAGGGGTGGGGAAAAGATTGCATCAAAACAATTTTGGGGAAGCCTTTCCTATAACAGACGGGAGACCAACATTTTAACTTTTGGACTCCCCTAGCCAGATGATGATGAAACATTTATTTCAATGGTGTCATTCTTTACAACGTAACCAAACACGTTCACATTACTTAAGTACTTAATATATCTGGCCATTAAATTGAGTAACATTTCATAAAATAGGATTTTACATTTGATAAATTAGATGATAACATTTAGGTTTCAGGTTAAGAAGCAACGCTTTTGCACCCTTTATAGACAGACGACAACCAAAAAATCTAACATAAGACAAATGAATGACGAACAAGACAAAACAAACAAGTGCGAAACAATGCCACATAAATAGAGCACCACAAGTAAATATGATTTAGGGATATGAGCCAAGCAAATGAGTTCTTAGTTTTCTAACAAACACAGACATGACAGATGAAGAAAGTAATGATTTGACCATTCCAGTACAAGATACCTTGATGAAGAACATCGTTCTTAGCCAATGACATTCTGTTAAATTGGACAGTATACAGGTTTCCCCTCACACTGCTTCGAGTATTATAATTATGAATGTTAGATGATAAAGGAAAACGAGAATTACAACTGGAAGGAGTAAATGGTGCATAAGTTTGTACATGGTTACATGTACACTGCAAAGGGTTTGATTTAGCAAACAAAGGAGCAGAATGATCATGACAGGCAGCATTCAAAATTATGCAGACCGATCGATCGTTTTTGTAAAGTGAGTTATTTGTTACATTTGGATGTCATGCAGCCCCAGGTCAAAATGGAATAATTTAAATATGCTAATACAAAGGAATTATACTATGTTAATAAAGTCTTACTCCAAAGATAATATCTTAGACAATTCATGATACCAATAGTCTTGGATATTTTTTTTCTCTAGCTCATCAATATGATATTTCCATATAAGGTTTTCATCAATGAGAATATCCCCAAAATTAGTACTTTTAACCTGCCTTAATATCGTATTATTCAATAAACGTGGAACAGTTTGCGGGTACTTGTATTGATTGGTACAAAAAATAATATAATGTGATTTCAGGGCATTGATACATAGCCTAATTTGTTAGCTAGGAGCCATGAACTGACCTTTGTAAGTTCCAGATTTAGGTTTTGAATAGCTTCATTTACATTTGTGTAAGAATACAACAAACTCGTATCATCAGCAAATAAACAGAATGTCATACAATCTGAGGTATTACATGTCGCTGATATGGAGAATAAAGGGTAAAGGGCCCAGCACAGATCCCTGGGGTACTCCACACATAATGACTCATTTGGTAAAATTTACAGAATTAAGTTATGCTACACAAATAACTCTTCAGAAGGGCCAGTGCTGTTCCTCGCACACCATAAACACTGATTAAACTGTTATGAGTTACAGTGTCAAAAGCTTTAGATAAATCCAGAAATACACCTAGTTCTGAAAGTACCTACAATATGCGTAGGCTGCCATTAACCATGCACTTAGGCCTTCTTCATCTTCAGCAGGTGGCAATTACCAGATTCACTTAATCCATGTATAGCCACGGGAGAAAACAGAGTGGCTCAAAGTTAATTTAAGTTCCTATCCCTGAATCTGATAAACTCAAGAACCTGATCCCCAAAAGAGCTAATTGAAATTGTTGAGACTATTGTATCAGGAAGCCAGTTCCAATCTCTACATGTTCTGGGTACAAAGAAAATCTGTGCGCTTCAGTTCTGCTATGTACATATGTAGGAATTCAAGTTGAAAGCTATTTCCAGAACTACATGGTCTCGTCCGAGCATGCTTGACAACACACTTCATAATAGTTGATGCACCCATAAATATTGTTTCATCATGATCAATCTAGCAGCTTAAGTTCTAGAACCTGCTGGTTCTTTTTCTTTAATTCCATCACGTCCATGCATCAAACACCTTGCTCTTACTTAGGCTAAGTATCAAACATCCCTGATACATTCCATTCGACTGGCTTATCAATAATCAAGTACCAACCATCACATTTGGGGTTGACGTCAGACCTTTGCACAGTTCTGGGGAATATTGCAGGGTACGTGTTACAACACTTGTAAAGAGTACCGGAAGTTTTTCTTCGTAGCGACCTGCCTTAGGCCTAAATGGTTTAAATTTAAATGTACATTGTTGGCCCGCTTGCCACAGAAATGCAGAAACATTTTGTAAACGCAAAAATAAAATGTTTACTCACGCGATCATTCGATCACACACAGGAGGCAAACCGATCTGAGCGCTGACACCAGCAGGTCTAGATGATCTACTAACTGTGTATTCAACAGGACGTCTGGGAAGTTTACTCATGCAAATTTCTCGTCCAAACTGGGATTCCAATTCCGCAGTACTCCAGGTCGTTTATTTGAGATGGATTCCCGCTGAAGCGTACATCCTTCGATCTCCGGATCACTAGCGCACATTCCACAAATTAAAAACAGGTGCAAAAGAGCTCATCTCGCCGGTGTCCTTCGAATTATAAGTAAAAAGACAATGCATTTTATCTGACGGATACCAGTGGCGATCTTCGTACAAAAGGGGGCGCACTGTCGAGAAGAACTCGTCGGCACTGTGCCGGTTTGAGACACCTTACGGTCAACCTGTCGTTGTAGAGAGACTACCATTGCAAATCCACTTTGTTATTTTCCCGGCATTGATGTTTCTTGAACATTCCAAAATTCCCCTTTTAGTTTCCTTATTTAGCGATGCATGAAACCTCTCAGTCTTGACCGTTTGAAAAATCGTATTGATTTTTAAGAACAAGCTATCTGCGACTTTTGCTCTTTAATGTCGTTCCTTGTGGCCATGTGCCAATGAAAGTTTGAGACGAGAAGGAAAAATGTAGCAGGTCTTATCATCAAAGGCTGTTTTATAGATGACTTCAATAGCGCATAAATTTATTCACCTTTGTATTATTGGCCCCTCGTTTTGAGCACACTCTACCTCCAGCTTGTCCCGCTCCGCTGACGAGGAGCGAGAGATGCTTAACTTGAAAATTTGTAACAATTAAGAACTATAACAGAGGGTTTGCGTTCTTGAAATTTATTAGCTTATCAACGTAAATCGTTCTTTTAACGTCAAGAACATCATAAAGTACATCAACAGTCGCCAATCGAACCTGGCCATGAGATGCACAGGCAGCAAAACAGCGTGTGTCCAATTAAAGTGTGCGCGCGCAGAGATACGCGAACTGCGTGTTTCACCTTCCAAATCGAGCGCGTGAATAGAAACCAGTTCGTCACGCGCATCACTTCAACAGACAGCGTGCAACACAGTCCACGACTAGCAAATGGCGTCAACTATTCGTAACGTGAATGTTGGTCGCAGTGAAACATACTGTTTGAATTTTGGCGGATGTAGTTAAAAACCACCGGAAAGGAAAATGGCAGAAGTTGGGGGACCCAGGTAGAGACGCCGGATGACCTGGGTAGAGCTAGAGACGCCGAGAGACAATGAAGAACCGTTTCCAACTTCATCTTAATGTTCTGTTCTTCCTGCTTTTGTTCGTACTTGGTGAGTCCAGAAAAATTGAGTTTGTGTAGGCCTAGAGGAGTTTTATAGCCTGTTTGAACGGAATTAGGCCAAGCCTAGCCCAGGTGGACTCCCTGACCGTACAAAATGTACTACGTCAGTCATAATGTAATGAAGACTGGCTCCAACCTGGGCTATAGGCCTTGCCTTTTTTGTATACAGTGTGCACATAATAATGAGTTTCATAAGCGCTCATTATTTTTCAGACAATTGTAGCTGTATCTCTGAAACCTACTTATTCCATACAAATTCCAGTAATAAGAATTCCACGTTCTTCAGATGCTTCAAGATGACTCGAACCATCTTTGCTGTTGACGATTTTGTGCTTTACTTCAACTGTGGGGACTAGGCCTTCTTTGCCCGACGGTGGGGCATAGATCACGGGGGCACACCTCTCGACGGGGGTTGTCATGGAATCATGCCTTCCTTTCAAATTGATGGACTCTTTTCACCTTAATTCAGCAAATCTAATGAAAGCAGCATTGCTGGTTATTAGGTTAGAAATAATGAAACAGAGGAAACGTGAGAAGCAGATCCTTTTCATTTTAAGTGGGAACTGATCGGACGCATACTCATTTAATTCACGCATATGAAAAGGGTAGAAGATGGCAAACGTAGTAAAAGATCGATTGACCTCCTTTTAAAAGGATCTAAAACTGAGTTCATTAAAAAACATTTCATGCAATTCTCAGCACATTTTAAAGGTAGGCTAATGAAGATACACACTAAAGTCGTGAAAACATTTTCAAGTCTTGTTCGTGCTGTGAAATCTGGAGGGCGGTATACAATGCACGGGCTATGGCCACAGACCAGCAAATACGTTGCCGCAGACAACATGGACAAAATTAATAACCCCATCATGTAAAAAACTAAGAAAAAAAACACACAAAAAACAAACAACCCAACAAACAACCCAACAAACACCCCAACCAACCCAACAAACAAACAAACAAACACCCCAACAAACAAACAAACAAACAAACAAACAAACAAACAAACAAACAAACAAACAAACGAGTTTCTGAAGTGTTTATCAAGCTTAGTCCTCATATTTTATTTTCCTTTCACTTTTTAGTGGCTAGCTTAACCGATGACTTTAGGTTATATCCACCCAGAGATGGTCACCTCTAAAAATTCGGTTGAAGCCTACACTCCATGGAAAAATGATGTAGCCATTTGGGGTCCCATTTTGTCCGATATTTTTAGAAATACAAGCTGGTGGTCCTAAATCCTGCCCCATATTTTCGCGGATGACTCACCACAAGAATTTTTAAGCCTTACACAGTAAACATAGCTTAGCATGAACATAATCAGTCCGATATCTAAACAAAGCACAATAACACCCAAACAATAAAGACAAGAACACCTCTCAAACGTCATTGCTGAGGAGATAGCCTACAAGTTTTTAGATGATTGTTGATTGAATATTTTATACAGAAGTCTGGAAATTAAATTCTTAATCTTATAGAGAAGAGGAAAATAATTTTGGCATTGGAGTTAGACCGACACAGCCCCATAAATGCGACCATACTGCAGATTCGAAAACTTTTTCTTTGAAACACCTGTTGTCTGATAGATTTTTAAAATGCTTTTTGGAAACATGAAACGTGTTTAATTGGCAAAATGTGTACATATAAGTTCACAACGTTATCCCCAATTAACATTTGACCTTGGCCAGAATGTTTTGTCTCATAAAAATTACTCCAGATGGAGACTTTTTATCACTAGTTAACATCACAACCGATATGAGATCAATTTTAGAGACCGAAAATAGTGATATTACTATATTTATTTCACTTCCTCTCCAGTAGCGGGCGGTGAACATTGGGGAGAATGGTCGACTTGGTCAAGATGCGACAAAAGTGAATTGTACCATACCGGTGACGTCGTCGTGACGTCAAATCGCACCCGTAAATGCAAGGTTGCCGGAGGTGACGGCATCGTCAACGCAAACGACTGCAGAGGGCCGAGCGCAGAAATTAAAATCTGCGAATGTTTGGGGAACTGTAGCAATGCAGCCAAACGGTGCAACCAAGGCCGACATATGAAGTTAGAAGACAGCGCACGTGTAACTTTGGGAATTGACCAAGACAGGACTGGAACGAGCCATGGGGTCAAACATCAAAAGTCATTATCCACGGACCGGCCGTTGCCAGGTAATTCCCGGCGATCGAGAGCGGTCGTCCCTCTTTCATTCTCATCTGACTTACTGCCGAAGTCAAAGACTCAAAAGCCCGAGTTTGGAAAGAGACACAGCAGAGATGATAAGCTACTGCGAACGGCGGACGAAGTCGACGAGGCGGACTATTCCAAGGACTTGAAATCATTCAAGGGCTTCATTCAAGTTCCACAAGAAAACACTAACTTGCAAAATGTTGAAACTTTTCACGATTTACGGCGACTGGGTGACCTTTCCCGTTCATCAACCACGCCTGTCGAAAAAACTGACCGGAGTTTGATAGTTTCACCTTCAACAGAAGCTCTGAAGTCAGCAACTGAAAAGATGGAAGTGTCCTCCTCACAGCAGCAAAAAGAGGAACCCAATGCTAAAATCTTACTGCCAACTTCCACTGAAGTTCCAAAGACCGAGACGTACGTTAAAGAGGAAGAAGGGGCAGCGAAATCCTTTTTCGTTGTGGAAAATCAGATACAGGCACGCCCCACCCAGGTGATTACAGAAACCACGGAGATAAAAGCTGAAGAGACTGAGACCAAGGCGCCACCCCCTTCGGGCTCTGCACTGAAACCAGTGACCGCTGCCAAAGGTTATAGCTCAAGTGTTGCCCAAGTCGAGTCAATGGGTTCATTGAGACTCAGGGATTCTACTGATTCGGTGGAAGCGTCACAGAGAATACCAGCAATCACTGACCCAGCTCCAACGGTCCGGAAACCTGCAGACAACACTTACTTGCCCGAACACTTAAATGAGCTTGATGAGCTTAATCGGTTCGAAGGAGAACCACTTGCCAAGTCTGTTTCAATCAAACCGACCGAAAAATATATTAGGAACGAAGAAGAGAAAGGAAAACTTTCTCCGTCGTTAGAAACCCAGACAAGGGCTCGCCCCACCCAGGGGAGTTTAGAAACCACAGAGGAAACAGCTGAAGAGACTGGGCCCAGGGTATCCTCCCCTTATGCCTCCACACTGGAATCAGTAACCGCTACCACATTCCGAGAAGAACCACTGGTCGAGTCTGCTTCAACCGCAGCTGTGTCGGCCTTGCAGAATGTACAGAAAAGGCAGGGACAAACTGTCCCTAGTGTCTCTGAACTGTCTTCAGCGGAACTTCCCGAATCTGCAGATTCTCTGAAACTCCTTGGTAATGAAGCGGGAGAAGCTAGAATATCGTCCGACAAAGCAGAGCCGCGGCATCGAAAGAAAATTTCAGATTTCGTGGATACACTGAAGGAAACGGCTAACGAGGAAAAACTAGCTAGCTACCTGGATGCGACACTAAAGCAAGATAGGGAGCCTTCCGAAGCACCATCAACTTACTCTGATAGCTTTCCGGTAAAAACCACAACCGAAGCACCCCCTAAGCATAATGGCAAAGATCTCCTCCGTCTCACTTCTAATGTAAATCAACCTCTAAAAGGCTCGGAATCAGTGCTTAATTGGAAAAGCCACTTATCCGATGTCGAAGTGGATACTGCGGAAGATACCAGTGAACCGAATGTAATGTTGCATACTGTGCAAAAAGAAGAGATTCCAACTAGAACTGAGAGTTCGACAACATCAGCAAGAATACTGACAAGTGCGACAAAGGTTGCCAACCTTCTCAACACGACAGAACAGATCAGCCTGGCCGATTTTAAAGATAAATTGCATGACCTGGAAGCCTTGACTAATACCCTTGAGACTCATAACAGAGTGCCACATGAAAACGTGCAAGAGATCTCTGACAGAATAGATGGTCTCATGGAGGTACGAGCCACTGCCACAGTGTTTCCCGCGATTCCTCAGTTATCAGTGACTGAAAAAGGGGTAGCATCACATTTTGACATGATTAACAGTCTTAAAGAGTCTGAGATTGATCAAGGAGATGAAAATCAGGTCCTGGTAACGGACAAGCTCTTTGATGAAGTCGTGGAGCCAAGTAAAGCTATTCTAGGCCATGAATTAAGTCCTTTTAAACGGCCGACCACGGCGCAATCTTTAACAACAACCCAACGAAAAATAGAACTAACGTCCTCAACGGGAAATGGAAAGGTGTTCGAAGTTTTGGACGAAACGAAAGGACTGAGACACAGCGATACGGTAAACAGCAAACAAAAAATTGAGAAAATCAACGGCCTATTGGAAAGAGTTGGGGAGTCGGGCAGAAATACTCCCGGTAACCAAACCAAACATTTCCCACAGTTATCAATGTCCACGACTACCGCTTCCACAAGACAACAATTGTTAACCTCAATGCCGAATTCAGCAACGCCCCTAAAGGTGGAGATTTACAGGACCTCTCCAACAGTTCCCTCAACAGAAAGTGTTACTTCTACACAAGTTCAAGAAGCATTGTTTCTCAGTTTCATTGATGAAATTGGTGAAAGTGAAGAAAAACAGAGCGAGCTAAACTCCCATCATGTTCAAAATATAGCTGATCTTCTCAGCGATATCCACGAGCCAAATAAAGGCGAGCTCAGCCATCAAATCGACAGTTTCGGTCGGTTGCTGAATCCAACAACAGTGTCCACAGAAGGAATAGGGACAACGTTGACAACAAGTCAAACTGAAATAACTCCAGCGTTGTCAACAGTGATTGACAAGGAGAAATTGTTGGCTTTTGTAGAGGAGATGACAGGAATGGAGATGAATGAAACCGTGGAAAATAAAAAAGAAATGGAGAGTGTTCACGACATTCTCAAGGGTATTGCAGAATCAGGTGAAGATGTTCTTAGGAATGAAGTGAAAAAATTTCTAGAGTTGCTTATGCCCACCGCTGTTGCGTATGAGACTTCGCAGGCTTCGACCGCGACACCAACCACCTCTCCTACTATGCTCCCAACAGCAACGGAACCTCCAGTGTTCGACATTTCCTCTGAAACAACAAGACTCCAGTCAACAGAAGCAGCAGTATTGCTTCTCAGTATGATAGAAAACCTGGACAAAATGGACCGAGAAGAGAAGAAGGGTAATCGTGTGCACATTCAAGATTTGAATGACCTCTTTGAGGGCGTGGGAGAGGCAAACAAGGATGTGCTGAGCCATGAAATCGATCATCTGCACAGGCTACTGAACCCAACATCAACAGAAACCATGGAGATGTCCTCCATGATTCCTGGTGAAGGAACATCGACGCCTTCAACTACGGTTACCATGGAGCAGATGCGTGGAGCAACGACGATGCCCATGACATTGGATGAAAAAGAAAAGGTGTTGGACTTTATGGACAACCTAGTAAGACTGGAGATAAATGATACAATGAACACTAATTATGAAATCGATAGAATCAATGACATGCTTAAAAAAGTTCAAGAACCAGATAGGGAGGTTCTTGGCCATGAAGTTAATCAGTTGCTCAGATTACTCGTGCCCAGCACTGCTCCCACTAGAACTGATCAGTCTCAAGCCAGTACACCGTCTTTTGCAACCACAACAGCCAGCGTTCTATCATCCACTGCACTTACCTCTGCAATGTTAGAATCAACACCCACTGTCACAAGACAGACGACAACCGAAGGAGGAGAGGTTCTTCTAGGCCTGATACAAAAATTTGGAGAAACCCAGCAGGAGCAGGTAGAAAGAGACGAACATCAAATGGAGGGGCTGGAGGAAATCTTCCGGGAATCAGAAGAATCAAACAAAAACGTACTAAATCATGAGATCGACCGCTTGAATCAGTTGCTGAACCCAACAACTGTCTCAAGTGCTGCGGCAGATCTTCTCACCACATTCCGCGCACCTGAAGTAGCTGAAACACCCACATTATCCTCAACGACATTTGCGGTGAACGAGGTGTTGAACTTTTTGGAAGGGATCGCTGGACTCGCAGAGAATGAGACTACGAGAAGTAGACAAGAACTGGAAGGTATCAGTGGTGTCCTAAAGAACCTTTCCCAGACTAGCAGTAATGTCACGAGCACGATCTTGAAAGAAGTAATTCAGTCACTCCT